AAGTACAGAACCGGTTGTTCGAAGTACAAATCAACATATTATCCCGTCTTGTCATGGAATCCAGGCAGACGGGTACCTTCCATTGTCACTTCACGCTTGCTCATGGCTTCAAGCAGTTGTTGCTGCTTGTCGACCATTTCGATGCGCTTTTGCATTATCGCGTCAGTAGACCATCCTTGAAGATTTAAGGACGTCATGGTAGATTGTCGAAAACTTCAGCGATGAAGTGCCGAAAAAGGTAGTCGGTTATAGGTGGACAGCGACGAGGGGTGCGTGTACTGACTTGATCCGGTTCTTATTGACCAGACACACGCAGTCAACGATGACGTTGATCAGGGACGCGTCGTAGGGTGCAGGCACTGACTTGATAAGTTTCTTATAGAACAGACACTTAGTACAGTACACACGCAAATATTCCAAACGGTAAGCCGTGGTAAATGAGGTTGCAACGAAGAAATTCGACGAATATGGAGGTAAACAAACGCCGACACACGCTCAACGAGCGGCTTTCCACGTGTCGCGTAGCAAAAGGAGAATGAAGAGCTACCGGGCGAAAAAAAGAACAGCAAGTGCCACCAGATGTGACGGAGAGCATGACGCAGAGGAGCAGCGACAAAGGAAGAGTCGAATGACGAGAAATGAAGAGGGGAAGAGCGGCGAGAGTCCAACGACGGAGACTCGAAGGTAAGGCACGAGAGGCTACTGATGTTCCTCGAAGAAGGTAAATTGAAAGGTGAGATTGAAATGATTAGTTGTTTGTCGGCTACGAGGAAGTGTGTGTTAGCATTCCCTTGGTATCCGATGTAAGTATATGCATTTCACAATACTAGATTTTAGGTAGCCCTTACGTCGAATGCTGAAGTAGCGTATCGTAGTGGTACACCGCGGTTCATTTAAACCGGGTCAGAATCTCCTTATTAATTCAAATGAAAAAGAATGGATGTCATTGAAGTTCCTTGTTTTGCAATACTCGTCCAAACATGGTGATTGCCTTCCGGTCAGGCGTGTGTCTATCTGACCGCTCATTGGCAGCTTAAGAAGACAGTTGCCAGTCAGCAAAGCCAATTGAAGAAAGTAGGACGCATTGGTACCAACGCCATTGCCAACGCTGGCTGTGACGTTGGTGCGTCGTTACACTCGCCATGGTGAGGGTGGATCCGCCTCGATCATCGACCTGCAGCGTTAGCTAAAAAAACGAGCTGAGAAACATGAACAGCGGCTTGTTGTTATCAATGAGATCATCGCCAGAAAGCGCGTGTCCGGAAGGAAAAAGGATTACAATTACATTTACGTCCAACGCGGACAGCTCCGAGCGACTACCGCCTTAATTTATCGGCAAGTCAAAATAGCCTCGTGATTTTGAAAAGGATACTGCAGAGCAGCTGAACTACGCGAACAGCATGGGTATCGCGGGCAAATTTTGCCAAGGGGCTCAAAGATATCGACACAAAGTTCAGGACAGAGCACCACAAGTGTTTGCTGATCATCAACAATGCTAGCCTCCACGAATGCAACGACGCTGATACAATTACAAATGTCGAAGTGGCGCTCCTACTGCCAAATACTGTAGGCGACAGCCTCTTGACGCTGGAATAATTGCTGGGTTCAAGCAGAGGTGGAAGACTCCGTATTTGACGAGCTAGCTACAATGCTGTCGCGCCTACATGCATCCGATCCGATGTCGGTGACGGTGACGGAACTGTTGAATCCACCAGATGAGAGCGTGTACGACGACCCCACTGATGAAGAGGTCTGAGTAATCGAAGTGAAGGACGTTCCCGTGAGTGATAAGTCGATGGGTGCCTGCGAGGATACTGGAGGCGAGGCAGAGAATAATGATGTAAAGCTCGATTCTGCGGATATTAAGGAGCACCTCAAGTGGATTGCAAAGCTGCTTATTCGAGCAGATAGGTTTAACTGACATCTTGATGGCACTACATCAATTGAATAGAGGGGGAGAGCCGCAAACGCAAAAATGAAAATGCTCGGTTGGCTTTTTATATGTGAAGACATTTCGAAGGTATCCCTGGCCACAACAAGAGTACCCTTATATAGGAATAAAGTGTTTGCTCCCGACGCTACGACTACTGAGGGGTTCATCTGAAAACTTAGTTCACTTAACGCGAAAGTAGTACTTTTAACCCCTCCGTCACTAAGGCTTGATAAGGAAGCATGTGACATTTTCCACATGCTTGATAATCAAGCATGTGGGGATCGTCATAGAATGGGCGTTTAGTCCGTTTAGTCCCCAGTGCACAGGGCTTGGGGTCCTAACTGTAAAGAGAAAGTTCCTTGGAGATACGCTGTCGTAAAGACTGTGCTTCAAACGAGAAGCCTCTGAGCCATCCATTCATTCTCCAAAACGAAACGCGGGACCAAGATGCCTCCCCGCCGCGTCACGCGCGCTGAAGCGGAGGCGTTCCTGCGTCGTCTCGACGGGAAGGAAGGTGCAGAACGCGCCCGGCGCTTGAAGAGCACCGCGCGTATGTCGACGGTACGCGTGACCGCGATGCTGACTTGGTGACGACGTTGCGGGTGAACCGCTTGTTTCAGCTCCCACGTCAGCAACGACAGGAAGACGGCCTAGGATGACAGTGGCCTCACGCAAGCCTCCTGCTCCAGCTACGTACCAGAAGAAGGGCGCACTAGTGGGGTACTACAATTTGCTGGCAAGAGCGCCGCGATTGAAAGGGAAGGCGCCAGTCGCAGCATTGCATGCAGAAGAGCTTGCTACCGATGCTGCTTCTGCTGATGAGGATGGGAGTGACAGCGGAGACGAAGATTACGTGGAAATCAGGAGAAGACCAAGGAAATGACGACGTCAAGTTTGACATGGCGACAGCGCCAGAGATCACAACACCGAAGAAGGCGGCGAAGAAGAAAAGACCGGCAAAGGCGCCTGGCAAGGCCAAAGCAAAAGGTAAGCGTAAGCGCGCACCATCGAAGAGATCAAGAGCGGACAAATCTGCGCGTACAACGAGCCCACACGTTGCTGCTGGTGACGAAGCCGTCAGGTGAGGAGATTATGCGTTTTGCGTACGATGTGTATCTCACACTTCATGATTGTAATTGTTTGTAGCGATGCGTCTGTTGGTGGGGATTTGGACTATAGCGAAACGTCGCCATCTCCGCCATGTGCAACAGACACAACGCAGGCAAATCGTGGAGCCATGTCGACATCGGAAGGTGCTTCCTCTGCGCAACAGACTTCACCGCTAACGCCACCTCGGTCTTCGGCTGCCAGGTACGCTGTCACATGATGGATATCAAGCATGTGCGAGATTTATTTTGACAACATGCTGTATATTATTGCTGGTTTTGCAAGGTCACTGGATATGGCTAGTGTTATTCCCACAACCCCGCCTCCTCTCTATTCCCGTCAAGATTCCCGTCACGATGATGACATCTATCGTGGTGGTGCATTGGATTCGGATTACGATGATTCAGACACTGGGTCAGCAGAATGGTACGAGGACATGGACAATCTTGAAGATGTTGTGGATGCTGAGATTCCAAGGGAGAGCGACACGGAGACAAGTGATGAACTGTCACTAGATGCGCCTCCAACTGGCGATTCACCGAGTTCTACACCTGCAGTTGGCGCAGCTTGGACAGCGACCTCCATGAAGTAAGGAGGAGGCCGAACGCTGGAAGGGCATCATTGACAATTGGCGCATCGTAGAAGGGTCTGATTTATCTAATATAATAGATACAAAGCTCGCTACAACTTCTTGAGAGGAACATCTATTCTGTGGGGACCATTCAAACTAACCGGTTTCATCGCTCAGTTGCAAGCCCAGCTACTACAAGTGGGGTCAGCCGAATTTGCAAACACGGTAAGTAAGGTGCTTATTCTGCTTGCTTTTCTCCTTGCTAACTATTACTGTATGTGTCCAAAAATGTACTCACCTAGACCAGTTACACCACTGCATGGCGACGCTCCACCGTCCACCCACCAGCTAAAAATGGACGACGAGTGGGTGGAGGTGAATGGAATTCGAAAGCGACGTCAGCGGCAGTGCAAGGTATGTACTATACGGAAAACAAGCAGTACACAGCGGCAGGTGACGCGATTCTACTGTCCTGGCTGCAGTAAAGGCTCAAACGGTACGTTGCTATGCTCTATGTTTCTTACTACTCCTATCTAACACGTATAATGCAGTGTCTACTTGTGTGACAAGGTGCGCCAAGGACATTACCCCAATAACAACCAGACTTGCTTCTCCATTTGGCACCAACTTTGGCGCAATGGAAGCGAGCGCCCACAGCCGCGCCACGGCCGCGGTATCCAGCTGAGGGCCCCACCAAAAAAGCGGGCGGAAGGACAAGAGGGTCGTGAAGAGGAGGGGGGCGGTGGGGACGAGGAGGAGGCCGCAGGCCTCGGCAATGAGGGAAGTGATGGTGGTGAACATTCTGATTGTGATCAGAACGAGACAACGGAAACTGGTGGTGACGACAGACAGCAGCAAGAGTAGGAAACAGTGAAACTGCGTAGGTAATAGCCCAAATGACTTGCTTTTAGCAAACAGATGCAATACTGTACACAAATTTGCTTTCGTAGCCGTTCTGCACGTGACTCCGTCAAAAACGATTCATTCCCAATAAAAGAGCCATTTGCACATGCATGATGTCGCGTATGGGCTTTACGGATTTTACTCACCCTGCTCGATATAAAGCATGTGGGTTCATAATACGTACGATTGCAGGATCTTGTACAAATATACAGACACCGATCTTTTTTTTCCTATACAAATTTTACGTTAAGACTTTTTTTAGCATGCTTGATATCAAGCATGTGAAAAATAGTCTGTGCATTCAAGATTTGCTAGGGGTTAATAAGTAGTATTTGAAGATCGTAGTACTAACTCCGATGTTTCCACCAACTCTTGTATCCAGCTCTGACAACCACTAATACTATCGACACACCATGTTTTAGTTTTGAAAGTACATGTAGTATTGTCGTCCCTACTACAGCTATTCCGGTGGCTGCTGTTTTTGTTTTATGCCTTAGTAGGCGTGTATGGTTGGAAGAAGTCTTCACCCAACCAGGAACTAGTGGGTTTCGTGTAAAGAGCATTACCCTTTTCGAAGTTTTCAGCGTCGTTCACATCACCAGCTCCTTTGTACTTGGCCACTGCGGGGTACGGGTAAACCGGACGCGTGACGATCTTAGCTGCTGATCCCGAAGACGACGCCTCCACCTCCAAATTGCGCTGCGGAGCCGAGGGTCCACCAGTGCCAGAACCGGATTCGGCCCATTGGCCGAACTTGCTCTCACCCGTGTTGGTCGGCGTGCTCGTTTCAATCGCGTCGGGCCCTATACCAGACTCCACCCACTCCAGCATGGGAGTCACCAGGTCAATCACCGAGGGACCTTCACCATTCCCGCAGTGATACACCCCGGGAAGGAGATACAGACGCTCGAACTCGCTCAGCACATCTCTCCCCATGGTCTTCTGTAGTGCTTCATGGAAGGCAATGGTCGTACGCGGCGAGATGTGAGGATCCGACCAACCATGCCAAATGATGAGCTTGCCTCCAGCCTTGTGGAACTCTGAGAGATCTGAGCTTACGGCGTCAAGCAGAGGATGCCGAGCACGCAACAGATCGATGGTGGATTTGGCGAAGTCGAAGTCACTGAGGGTGTAGTTGTCTCCCGGATATTCTTCGAAAATCAGATACTTGATGGCAGAAAGCGCTGCGTTGGTGCTCATGATGTCGCCTGTGTACGAGTCTGCGACGAAAACACCGGACCAAGCTAACTCCGAGCCGTACTGCTCTTCTCCAACTGTCAGGTACTTACCACTGTCCTTTGGTCCATTGTAGAACTTGGTCACCGCCGTCACCTCAGGTGACGTCAAGCACGTAGTGTTGTCGGTGGCGTCTGCTGCACATTTGATTGTCGATGGGTCAAAGTCGCAGAGTCTGGGATCGGACAGAAGGCCATCCTCGATACCATCAAGAGGGTCGCAAGCCTTGACGACAGCTTTGTGAAGAATTGAAGCGCGGTCAGCGATGACGATGCGCTTTCCTTCGTCGTCGGTGTTGCTAACCGATAGCCAACCGTGGTGGAAACTGTTCTGGAACGTGAAGAGCATGGCTGGTGCGCCAGCAATGATACCGTCAAAGTCGTTCGGATAGCGAATTGCCTCCATGACAGCCTCACGACCACCGTCAGAGCAACCATTAAAATACGAGTAAGCTGCTTCCTGACCGTAGTAAACCTTGATCAGTTTCTTAGCAGTCTCGGCTGTCTGATGAACAGCCAGGTACGCGAAGGCCGCTCGTCTGTCTTCATCGAGTCCGAACTTGCCATCAGAGCCACCCGCCATGTCCGTGGAGGCCAACGCGAACTCTCCGTTGCTCACTTCAGCAGAGCCATCAGCAGCACCTGGCTGGATGTTGATATTGCCGCACAACCCCCCGCATCCGACTTGCATGTAGCGCTGCGTCCAATTTGCAACTGGGAGCAAGACTTGCCAGCCCGCAGAGGAGGCAAAGTTTCCAGTAACTGAGCAATAGGTGATACCATCTCTATCACTCTCTTGGGCAGCAGTGATGTTACTGCCATTTCCGCCGATAGCGGTGAGATCAACAGCTAGCAGATTCGAGCAAGCGGCAACCGGCTCCACCGGTGCAAGACTGACGGCGGAATCAGAGGAGGTTTGCCCGACGGATGCTTGCTCGGTAGTCTTCGCACCCAAGCCGCTCTTGAAATCGATTGCATTGGTGAGGGCCAGCGTACTGGCAATGACAGGAAGCGAACCAGTGGCACCGCGGAAGAATCTCATCTCGATGGAGTGCCGGTTGAAGCGACTGTAGTTGAGGTGGAAGGTTCGGGAATGAGTTCACTCGTGAAGCGTGGTGCACTCTGCGAACAGCACTCTATCGGTGTATTGGTGCACCAGCTATCATTCCGCGTGCATATCACGATTAATGAGTTGAACTAGTGACATGGCACCAAAGCTGGTGCAGCCGTGTGCTCGCATGAGATCGATTATACGATGTGCGATCACTGTCCACTTTAGTTTAGGGTTCACAGGGAATAATCATTCGCTTTGAAAAGTTGATGCCCAAGTTATGAAAGACAGAGCTGTGAAGTTCGCGGTAAGCGTGTGGCTGGTGTCCAGGTACCGTACGTAGTATGTACCAACGGTGGCTAGCCACCGTGTCCATCACTTCTGGTGGCAGTGATGAATCCATGCATTCAGACTGCAAAAGTGTCCTACGGATCTGGATTAGTTGTATCAGTCGTAACGTGAAGAGTTGATCGCTTGGGATGGCTCATTCCGGCTGTGATTCAGTAAAATGCTAGCCGATGCCAATACACTGCCATCGGCGAGTATAAAATGTATTTCATGAGAGCCTGGAGCAAGATTTTTTTTACATCTTTCGTTTTTGAAAGAGTGCTTTAGAAGTCATCACATTGGGAGATGATAAGTAATCGAAAATTTAGTGAGCTGCATTGCATGCAAACGCGTGTCGATCGATCATTATGAAAACGTGAGCAGCGTCGCGCGAGGCACCATCACAATGGAGGCAAATCCGCTCACATGGACGGTCAGTCGCCGTAGCGAAACTACTGCAAGTACAGTACCTGGAAGAGTTCGTTGACGGCGTGTCATGCACCTGAGCAAGATTTTTTTAAAAAAAGTTGTGGTTTGTGAGTCACACACCTCCACGGTGCTTTACCAGTGGCAAATTGCCACTGGCATGCTGGCAGAATTGCTAGCGGTCCAAGATGCGCATATTATAAGAGATCGTACGCCGTTTCGTCAAGTGGTCAATCCTACGCCTTTAAAACGTAAATTAACGTGTTGCTATAAACCAACGTTTGATTTACCTCACACAAATCTGCAAAATGCTGAGGACCGCCCTACTAGGCTTCGAGTCCCCCTTGCGCCAGGCGACGGCTCGCGGCTTCACAAGCTCCAAGCTCAGCTCGCGTCTGCTCAATGCGCTGCACCCGACAGCGCGTTCTCAGCTGCTACACAGACGCCCCAATGCAGCGGAGCAGCAAATTCGACAACAATACCATTATCGCTCGAGTAGCCGACGCGAGAGTCGTGCCGTCTCGGGCGATGTGGTGGTGCTAGGCCTCATCTCCGCCAACGCCGCGGTCACCATCGGCTGGATGCGCACACAGGCTCCATCACCGAGACACCCGGCACAGCAGCTGCGCAGTTTCCAGCCATCTATGAGGACAATGCTCACGCACTTCACCACGTCCACGCAGCACCTGCAGGATGGGCGATACTACACGCTGCTGACCTCCATGTTCAGCCAGGCGACTCTAGGGCATTTGGGCGCCAATATGCTTGGGCTTTACTTCTTTGGAAGACAGTTGTGCGACTTGCTGGGCCACAGGAAGTTTCTCGGACTGTACCTCGCGAGCGGCGTGCTCTCGTCCGCTGCGGCGGTGTATGAACAGCACTTGTCCGGACGACTGACCTACAATCTAGGCGCGAGTGGAGCAGTAAACGCCATCACGGCCATGAATATTTTGCTGCTCCCGCACGGCACGCTCCTCATCTTCGGCATCATTCCCATGCCAGCGTGGCTCGGTGGTTCGCTCTTCATCTTCAAGGACGCGTACTCGTTCGCGACAGACCGACAGGATGGCATCGGCCATGTGGCACACCTCAGTGGTGCGGCCGTTGGAGCGGCGTACTACTACTACCTGCGTCGCGGAGGTTTCCGCAGCTTTCGTCGCTTCTGAGATGGACGGGGTAGTGAGAACACCTGATTTGGTTTGACGCTAACCACGATTAAACTACATGTACGAGCACATGAGCACTGCAGATGATAAGAAGTAGCTCGGATGCTCCAGACCCAAGTTTTGCTACGAAGTACTACAGTAGTACCATGGCAAGGCAAAAACGGTCGGACCAGCTTACATCCACGTTTGCAATCACTATTAAATGCATATATTGTAGTAAAACTCAGGCAATTACAAATATTTACATAGTACTAATACCCACCGTGATTGCTACTACATAGTACTTTTTTTTAATTTTAAAATGGCAGCAATTTTGCTACTCACAGTATTGAAGTCCTCATCCTACATTTATGTAGGACACACCATGTTTACCCACGCGCTCTGTCGTTGCCCGATTTGTAACACCATTCCAGGATCGACTAAGCCAAGCGATGCAGAAGACTCGCAGCAAGTACGTGCGCTATCTTCTCCCCCTGCTACTCAAGAGAGCTGTAGCATTAGGGGGAGCACCATCTCTATCTTCCTCAATCTCCCGCCCTCTTGCTCACATGCTTGTTATGCTCGAAAGTAGCTCGAATCCGACGGGATTCCAGAGTCTCCTCGGGGTCTCCGTGCTCTGGCACGGCTGGCTAAAAAAGCTTGGGCGCTTCAGCAAGCGCTGGCGTAAGCGCTACTTCATTTTTTTATCCACACCCAACGGCATGAAGGAGCTGCGTCACTATGACACGTTCAAGGACGTCAACACGCTGCTCATGTCTACGCCAAAGGGCGTCATCTCCATGACCGATGCCACGGGTATCTGCTGCTTCACGCCCGTGCCCATGGCCGGCAGAAGACCTTTAAAATTTGTACGTCGAGAAACTATTTTTTTTTTTTACTAACATAGCCATTTGGTGAACTAAATTGTTTTTTGTTGGACGGACCAGAACCGCTCGGATACAAACGACTCAAGACCGGGCGCATACGACCAGAAGTTTGCAGTCTTGACACCTCTTGTAAGCTAGTCATTTCCTACTACTTAGTATGATACTGCGTTGATGGAGACTAATTTGTTATCCTAGCATATGAATTTGCTGGCGTTCCACAATGGCCGAGAGTGGAGTGGGTAAGTTTCGGTCATCTTTTCTGGCAGTACTTACACGACACTAATGGTTGGTGCGTATTTAGTGCTAGTGAATCTCAGCAGGGACTGTCACTGCTAGCGTCGCTATCGGCATTTTACCCGACGGTGGATGTCCTTCATTCCGGATGGATGACGAAGAGGCGAGAGCGAAATGTGCACAGCCCGAAGAGCATTATGACGTACTGGAAACGACATTTCTTCGTTTTCTTGACGTCGGGTGATTTGCTATATTTCCGGGACGATACCTTGAGTGAACTGCAGGGTCGTGTGGACGTTCGACATGCCCCAACAGTGCGCGTTACTGGAGAGCAGCTGTTGGAAGAGAGGAAAAAGGATGGAGGCATGTTTAAGTTTGGGAAGATGCCGGCGCTCGAACGGGAGACCTGTCTGATATGGATCGCCACTCCTCCGTCCAAGATGTTTGTTTTAAAACTGGAGGATGACCACGATGAGACCGGGAGCGGCGCTAGTGGTAAAGTGGCTCTCGGGTCTTCTTCTGGTGTGGGGGTTACTACAAGGAAAGCTGAGCTTACTCCAAGCTCCAAGAAGTGGCTGCTCTTGCTCCTACAGGGACATGCCGAAACAAAGTATACACAGCTCGAGAAATGCATCGCAACGTCCAAGTATGGACTGACGACAGAGGTGAGTACGATTGTGTTACGGTGGAAACCCTAGCAGGCTTTCTTCGTTGACTTTACTATACTGTACTGTAAGCATTGTTTACCTATCGAATTGACGTGCTATTGAACAGATTATCTCGGCAGTCCGCGCAGGAATTCCAGATGAGTTGCGTGGACAACTTTGGAAAGGGTTTTCTGGTGCCACAGATCTCCAACGACGCGTAGAGCTTAAACACGCTATCCGCAGTGCATCCAAGTCATCCAACGTCTTCCGCATGCCATCGCGCGAAAACTCTGTGAGAAGTGGCCACAAATCTCCAGCATCGAAGAAGCACGCAGTTTATGAAATGTGCTCTGCGGGCATCGACGCAAAGAAGATGGATCCGCCGGAGAACCAAATGCTTTTCACCCGATTGTGTGCATTGGCGCTCCAGGAAAGTGGACACGCAGCTGTCACCGCGCGGACAAGTGAATTGAACAACCTTTCAGGCCGCCTGGGACGTGCTATTTCGGATGCGTCGAACCCGTCAGATCAATACAGCGAAGACCGTGGGTCATCCTACGACGAGGAACGAGACTCCATGGACGATGACGATGCTGAACAATTTGAGGTCGAAGAGACTAAAACTGGCAACGATCCTTTTCGTAGACGCCCCTCGGCAAGAAATACGCTCAAGCAGCTTGAAAAAGGCAAAATGGGTAATTACGTGTACCCCAGCGACTATCCGGCAGCAGATTGGGAGCTGACATCTCGACGCCGGTTATTAATCGCAAGCTCGCGCTACAAGTAAATCGGTGGTGCTAGCCAATCAGCTGGAACGACATTCATCTCTAACCGCTGTTTGGTTTCGTGCTGTGATTGCATCCAGTCCATATTCCCATCCATTTCCCTGGCGTGTGTCGTGTCTCCTGCTGGCGTATGTCGAAGAAGAGAGCGCATTCTGGATCATCAACAGGTACGGTTGCTCGCATTGTGCCTACAATACTTCTAGTATTATAGATGAGCGCTGTGTGATGCTGACTTGGTCGTGTTTTTTATTGGTGTTGGCAGCATAATCGACTCGCTTCTGCCGGGCTACTTCCACGGCTACCGGCCAGCTCTGCAGATTGATGTGGCAGCATTCACCACGCTCCTAGAAAGCCGCTTACCGACTCTCGCAGCCCATCTAGCAGCATTAAAATTTCCTCTTGGTCGACTAGTTGAACGGTGGTTTCTAAGCTTGTTCACCGCTTCGCTAATCCCGCTCCCCATGGTAAGTACAGTCGTCCAATGATACCGAAAAACTGTATAGATACTCATGCTATCTGCAGGTTCTGCGGATATGGGATGCCTTCTTCATTCGTGGTGTCATTGTGTTCTACGGGGTCGGTATTGCATTCCTCTTTCGCGCAGAAAAAACTCTTTTCCATGCCAAAACAGCCGCGGAAGCAGAGGAATACTTGAGAGCTAGCGAACGGAGTTGCATCGATGCGGATGCAGTCTTCTCTGTGGTCTTTAAGGACGATCTGACCATCCCGTGTAAGTCGATTCTTGGGAGCCTATTGGTATGAAGCGAAAAACTAACCCAACAATGCATATTTGCTCCAACAATTGCAGGGCTCACGGATGAACAGCTCGAAAAACTGAGGTCCACACAGCGCCACCGCGTGATGGAGCAGGTTTCGCAGAAGGTGGGATACTTTAAAGACAAGCTGAGCATTCTCAAGCTTTCACAAGACCTCGGCTCGCGCTGCCAGGCCGTTGCCAAGCAGTTTTTGAGTGATCGTAGAGGTGTCACGGCTGCTCTACGGCTCAGTGAAGCCCAGACCAGCGATGAACAAGACCCGTACGACATGTACGGGCTTGACGATGACATTAACGACCTTGACATTGGCATCGATGGCGACAAGCTAGAAGATTCGTTCCAGATGACACTGCACCTGCTGCTAGAGCAAGTAAGGGAGTCCTCTGCAGCAGCAGAAGCGCTTGCAGTAGAGCTGGGGCAGCGACAAGCCAAGTGGCTGGCCGCTTCAAGCCAGCTTGCAGCTTGCCCTCTTGCTCAACCACCTACGCCGGACTCCCACAGTTGGCTCTCGCAAGTCAAGCAAGGCAAAATCGCCGGTGCCGGACATGATGCTTCTTCACTCTTTGCCGCCAGTGGCGATGGTTTCCCTTCTGCCTCTCGCGTAATCGAAGCGTCTGGTATGATGTTTGACACTGGCGAGGCCCGTCTTCCCAGCAACGGTGCTTCAGAAAGTGGGAATGATAGCCCAATCACTGGACAACGTAGCTGTCTGTTGATGGAAAGAGAAGATCTCGGGCTATCTGATCGCAATCTCGCCGAGATGTTTCTGTACGCTTTGGTGTCGTCGCTCAAGGCGCTGTGTGCTGTTCGACTAGAATGTCTTGGCGTGACGTATCGATTCATGTGGCATGGTGGGTCCTGGCTGGAGTCTGCTGTCGACTATCCTTCCTTCTCCTCACTAGCAGAGACCGCATCAACCCCATCCACACCAAACTCCCGGCAGTCTGTTCGTGTGAAGTCCCAGTCGTCGACGGCTAGCTCGTCAAAAAGACGTCCGCGTGCTATGGACGACTCGGCATTGTCTGGCCGTAAACGCGGAGACTCGGGTGCGACTACACCGAAGCGAGGGGGGCGCCCAACCACACGTAGTTTCTACAATCCGAGCAAGTCACCAACACGCCTACGTCCCAGCTTATCGTCTGGGGACTTCTCAGTGTTGGAGTTCGCGACAGGTGGTGTAGGCACCAACTTGTACGATGATCCGATCATCGAAGGTCAGCCCGCGCCATCGTCGCCCACGTACACCGAACAACTTGCAGACGCTAGCGATTCCTACCCCGCCTCGCCAACGTCGCTATCTCCACACGACAGCAGCGCAGTTGGGCTGGACTTTACCCTTGGTCGTGGTATAGATCGCTGTGCGGCCTCGACGCTGGATACTTTAAACAAACCCTTGTTGGCAACCCTCACAGCGCAACACCAAGACGGTGAACGTGTTTTCAGAGAGTCACATAAGCGGCTGCTTAGTGGGCTGGGGAAGTTCTTGCGCCTTGAGTATCATGACCAGGATTGGGCTCTTCGTGAACGCGCTCTGACTATTGAACGTGAACTGCAGCAGGAACTCCAAGAGATTGAAGCTGAAGTTCATGGAGCCCAATGGTTACAACACTAGGTTCCGTTCGAAGTGGAAAGCATAACAGCGTAACATGATAGGATAACTTACGATCGTGTTTTTGGCCATCAAAGCTGCGTGCGTGGGCCCTTGATCCCGTTACTGCTGGGCTGAGCCCCCACCACGGCACCAATCTCGCTAGTAAACGGGTCTCTGACGCTGTTATCATCAACATGACTACTGGTATTACTGCTGGAGCGTTTGAAGGAGTGCGGAGACTCGGCAAATGGATGATCAGGGTCGTCATCGCTGAGCACACGGATGCCCAGCTCCTCCATGATTTCCGTCACAGCGAGCCAGACTTCGGACTTCAGCATGGCATATTTCCGCGCATCCAGCTCTTCCGTGTACGAGTAAACTCGAATAGTGTAAAGTTCCTCCATTGCCACGAAAAAGAAACGTTCCCACTTTGCACCATGCCGCAAGTCCGACTGGTTCTCTTCGTGAGACGTAAGTCCGACATGCAATGACTGCAGCATACTTTCCAGACGGCGTAAAGCTTGTCGCAACGTCTCCACCGGAGTAGCGCGTGACACACGGACATGTAAGTCCACGTCTCGCTTTGGCCGCTGCGAAAAATTGATCATGGGCTTGTAGAGAAAGAAGCTGTTGGGCACGTAGAGCGTCGTTCCCTCGAGACTCACCACTGTTGTGTAGCGCAGCGACACGCGATGTACGAATCCTTCGGCGTCTCCAACGCGAATGAAGTCGTCAATCTTGAACTGCGAGTTGAATGCGAGGAAGAGACCGCCCACAACATTGTGGAAGGACGGCACGAAGCCCAGCGCGATGGCGAGGCCAATTACACCCAGTACCGAGTACTTGAGTGTAGCACTGTTGCCCAGAGCCGACGAGTAGATGATCAGCGCAATGATCAACAGCGTCGTCAACCGAAGAATCTGTCAGCAAGTTTAACACGCTTTCTGATTAGCAATCGTTAGGAAAACCCAAGCAATACCGAACTGGTCTCTCACCTTGACAGACTCGGAGATAACCATCTTCTTGGAGAAGTCTCCATTCGTACCAACAAACCGTCGCACAGCCAACTATCTCAACCAGATAAAAACAACAACAACAGATAAGTTGATTGATAAGAGCGGGGGAAAGATCGAAATACGCACACTCTGAACGACGTTAAACAGTGAGTAGAGCCAATAGAGGAAGAAGACCCCCCAGATGTAGGTAGGTAGGTGACAGAAGAACTTGGTCAGTTCCGATACTGCCAGCGACAGCAGCACCAGCGACATAGAGATGAGGTACGACGTAGAGCCCACACATGACTCCTGGAAGTCTTCGGCTACTCTGTACAGCAGCAACATCAAACAAGTTATATATGCTTTACGCATACTGCAATACGGCCGCAATTGTTGCACTATACTGATGCATGAACGGCAGCTTGGTCAGCACGAAGATGAGAAGGCGGACCAGAACGCGCGGCAGGAATGTCGCGAAGAAGACCAGCACGGCAGCAACAACAAGCTGCGGCGCCTTCACGCTGCGCCACCAGTCCGGCAGGCACGATACGGATGCGCAGTCATCATCACAGCCGTCGGAGGCGCGCGCTCCGTCAATGCAGAGCAGCACGAGTAGTAGCAGCAGCTCGAGCATCGCCGAGCGTAATTTATCGATACGCTTAATAAATTACTGTGAGGGCAGTATTCTAAATACTTTTTTTAAACCGTTTCTAGGACTATATATTGGGAAATGAGCGCATACTGTGCTATTTTTCTATCACCCTGGAACTGTTTTGACAATCCTCTTTGTAGTGAAGCCGTCGGGAGGCCACTTATTATCACTATCCGAAGGTACCACTATCCAGATTTGTTTAGTTACAAGGGTACCATAGCCTTACCATTGGAGCTCACTGTTAAATACATGTAGCACACAAAAATGTGTATAATAGACTATGCCACAGCTGCAGTGTGACGGGGTCACACAGCACCTTGCGCTAGAGGAAGTTATCTTCCGAGAGTAGACAAACTCTCAGTGAACGGCAGTTCACAGGTCCCCTCTTTAATTAAAGAGACTTAATAAGGTAGATTGTAAACTGAGTATATTTATAGGTAGGTTAAGTTTGGGTTTAATACAAACTATAAGTTACCTATAGAAATGCAATGTCATTTAACCAATGGTTGGCTTTGAACGACTTTGGTACCTTGTACCAAATATCCCGGAGTATGACGTGTCATACTCCTGAAGTGTGAAGTGTCACACTTCATGTAACCAGGGTACACTTAGGGCTACGTACCCCGTTACATCCTTCCCCACTTAGGTTCGGTTTACTGACCAATCAGAATGAAGAGGTGTTCATCACAAACTCTCATTCTCAAAGTCGAAAACCATCGACTTGGCCGCGCGAGCGCGGCGGAGGCTCACTTCACAGTTAGAGCCTCCTGTGCGCTCTTCGTCTAGGTCTCCACTTCGACCGTTAACATGCCTCGTGGCACTGCTAAGAGCGGTGCTAAGACACGCTCCAAGGCTGCAGCCGGTAAGGCGCAGGCCAAGAGCACTAAGCCTCACGGCAAAGGCTCTGCGCTTAAGGAGGCTACTCAGGTGGCCTCCGAGGCGATCGGATCCTCGGGTGACGCGGCTGCGGACAAGCGCGCAAGCAGGCGCCGCAGTCCGTCGCCCTCGTCTTCAGACAATCGTCCGAACCCTCGGTTCGTAGAACGTGAGTTCAACTCGGGCAGTGAAGACGATGCCGAGTCCGAGAGCACTCATGATGCTCCTGCGGGCTCTGTGGGAGGGCACAGCCCAGTGCCCAGTGAGCACAAAGATGGCAGCGTGCAGTCGCCCGCTAGTGATCACGGTGATCACAGTCCCAGGACCTCTGTGCGCTCTGAGAGTCCGGCCGTTAAAGCTAAGGGCACTCCCAAAGCCGGTGGCGATGAGGAAGAGAATCCTCGCAAACGTCTCTTGCTTGCCGAGGGTCTTGCGCGCGCTAAGGCCGCTAAAGCCAAAGGCGCCAAGCCCTCAAAGAAGCGTACCGCCTCTAAGTCTCCACTCCGCGAGGAGAAGGAGACTCGACGCCCCTATCAGAGTCTCTTCGGCTCCTCGGATGAAGAGGAGGAGAAGGAGGAAGAAGAGGAAGAGGAGGGTGCTATTGTTGATCCCCGGGAGGTCTCGAATGACCTCGACCAGCAGCAGGAGGAGTTCCAAGCTGCCCAGCGTGTGCGTGGGGGTTCGGTGGTGGCACTTGTCCGCCAGGGAGCTGCCATTAACTCAAGTGGGTATTGGCCTCCCGAGGAGAGCTCTGGGGCTGACCCCTTCTTAGAGATTCTCGTAGCTCCTCGTGGCCTTGTCCGGCTGGACACTTCTAGGGGCATCTATGAACGAGCCCTTGTTCAGAAAGAACAGTTGTTCGTTGACAACTTGGAGGCTGCTCGGTGTGTGCTTCTCGCGCCACACCGCATTCCCCTTAAGGACTTCACGACTTGTCGTAAGAAGCCCGAGACCCGGGGTGGTCTCTATCCTGTTTGGGGATACCCCTGGGTTATGCCCGAGAACTGTCCCACGTGGAGTTCTTGTGAGGACATGTTCTGGGCGTGGGTGGAGACTCTCAAGTACTCGCCCACGGAGTTATGGGAACTCCATGAAGATCAGCAGCTGTCCCACATCCTGGACCACCGTGATCTTCGTGTGAGGTTTGCCCACTTGGTCAGCAAGCGCATGCTGCCAAGGGACATTCTGAAGCGTGCGGCTTTCAGTGCTCACGATGAGCGCGGGTACGGAGTGTATTTATCGTCCGTACCCCGTTCGGGCAAGAAGCCCCGGACTACTTATGAAGCTGCCGCCGCTTCTGTTCCCAGATTGCGACAGCCTTCGGGCAGTCAATCAGGAGCAGTTCAATCGGCTCCCACGAGTTCTCGGAGTGGGCATAACCCCTCCACTTCACGAGGAGCTGTCGCTTGCCGCGACACCGTTGCTCCTGGAGGATCCGCTCCACGTGGAAGTGGGCTTCTCCATTCCGGTCAAGCAGGGGCGGAGGTGCCCTCGTACGAGTACGAGTACTCGGCGCCTCCCGAGAGCCACTCTCGTCCGAGTGCTCCGACTGCGGGTCCGACACAGGACCCTGAGGTTGACCGCCTCCGTCAACGTGTCCTCGTGCTTGAGATTGCACTTGGCCTTGGGACTGGCGGTAATGCTGCCACCCAGGCCGGGAATCAGGGCGAGATCGCTCGTCTTGCGGGCCGCCTGGACCTGGTGGATCGAGAGGTCGCGAGCCTGCACCTGCGGGTGGATCGCCGGGCCTCTTCGTCCGACCTGGACGAGGCCTTTCGAATGATCCGACGGATCGCGGCTTTGTTGCCACGTCCGGAGCCGCCTGCGGCACACTCCCAGACGTACGCGTATGGTGCGTACCCGGCGTACTCAGCGTACTCGGCGTATGGCGCCGGGGTCCGTTCGTATGGAGCCCCTCCGGCGTACGGTCTTGACCGCAGCCTTGCCGTCCCGACCGAGACTTGGGTGCCTGCTCCGACGCCCTCGTCGACGACTGTGACCGGCCCTCGCTTCGAGGAGCTGGGTCAAGGGGGGTCTGCGAGTCAGCAACCCCCTGCGGGTCAAAGTACCGCTTAAGACGTCCGACATAGAACGTCGGGTGCGTCGTCATTGACTTTGGAAGGTCGATGGTGTACGACGCACCATGTCTGGCCAAGACTGCAAAAGGTCCGATGAAGCGGTGCTTCAGTTTGTTGCTGCCGACAGAGCTAACAGTGTCTAGAGGTAGGTTCCTCGTGTCTAGCAACACTAAGTCACCAACCTCAAATATACTTGAGTTTTCTTTTCCTTGTTTGTCTGAGTACTCCTTTTGTTTATCTTGGGCCGCTGCCATGGCATCCCGGACCCTGCTGATAATGTTCAGCTTGGTATCCATAATGGATTCCACCTGTTTCCGCAGCGAAACTGGCCTCACATCCGAGACCTGGGAGGAAAAGGCTTTCCGAGCCTCTCCCCCACTTAGAATAGAGGAGTCAGTGTCTCCTCGAAGAGTGAGGGGCACTCTGGGGTGGCGGAATCCGTTCAAGTAGAACGGCGTGAGCCCCGTGGACGCGTGCACCGCGTTGTTGAGCGCAAACTCAACAACTGGAAGCTGCGACGACCACGTACGTGGCGCTGCCGCGCACACACTGCGCAGAGTGTCCTCGAGCACTCGATTGACGCGCTCTGTTTGGCCGTCTGTCTGCGGATGATCCGCAGTGGACATCTGCAGACGAGTTCCCAGTAAAGGGAACATAGTTTTCCAAAACGCAGCAGTGAACCGCGGGTCTCGGTCCGAGACAATCGTCTCCGGGAGACCGTGATAGCGGAACACGCCATCGACGAACAACCTTGCGGTTTGTTCGCCCGTTACAGTGACGGGAACTGGAGCAAGATGTACCATCTTGCTCAGCCGACACACGAACACCAAAATTCCGGTGTTGCCGTGTCCGTCGGCGGGAAGCCCAAAGATGAAGTCAAGACTCATCGACTTCCAACAATCAGCCGGTACGGGCAGGCTCTGTAGTGGAGCCGAAGAGTGCCCTGCGGGTTTGACCCGCTGACATGTTTCACATGTCTTGACGTACCGGGCGACCCACTTGTACATGTGGGTCCACCAGAAGGACTGAGAGACCGACAGAAAGGTCTTCTCGCAGCCCAAGTGGCCGCTGGAGGGCGCGTCATGCGCCTCCGCGAGGATGTCGAACTTCAGATCCTCGTCGTTGGGTACGACCACCCGTGGAGGATCAGTGGGCTCCACCCGATAATAGAGGAGGCCCTCCTTCAACTTATATCGGTGGAGTCGTGAGCGCTGTCGCGACGAGAGCCAGTCGGACTTCGCGCTCGTTCCGGCCTTAAGGAGCTTGACGATAGGCGCGACAGCCTCATCGTCCCGATACGCCATGCGTATCCGATCATATAGATCCGTTGTCACCCGCGTGATGTGGGCCAACTCATAGTCGGGACGCCGAGAGAGGGCGTCCGCAAGCACGTTGAGCTTGCCCGGCTTGTATTCGACGCGGAAGTTGTATTCCGCGAAGAAGGACAGCCACCTCGCCATCCTTTGGGAGAAATGAGGCGAGTTAGTCGCCGTCCCCAAGGACGCGTGGTCTGTGTAGATCACAAAGGGCCTAGAGCCCAGAGGTGAACACGGAACTTCACAAGGGCATATTTCATTGCCAGGAGATCCTTGTCATGGACAGGGTAGTTCCGCTCGGCGGCTTTGAGCTGCCGTGACTGGAACGAGATGACTCGTTCCTGTCCAGCCGTGTCGTCCTGCAGCAATGCACACCCGATGGCGTAATCGGAGGCATCGCAGACGACGCTAAACGGCTTCGTCTCGTCCGGCAGGGCCAGGACAGGGTCCTCTTGGAGACTGGCCTTGATGCTGTCAAAAGCATCCTGGTGCTCCTGCTCCCAGCGCCAGACGACGTCCTTCGGAAGGAGGCCCGACAAGGGCTTAGCGAAGCCCGCGTACCCTGCGCTGTACTTGTGAAGGTAGTTGGCCAAGCCCAACCACTTTCGAAGATCCTTCTGGGATCGGGGCGTCGGCCATGCTGTTATGGCCTTGACCTTGTCTGGGTCAGCCCGAACGCCCACGTTGCTTACGAAGCAACCGAGAACTTTGA